ACAGTGTTTCGTTTTTGAATGAATCAACCGTTTCAATGATTTGGTTCAATCACAATGACCCACTTATTAACAGGGACTTGCTGCCACCTACTGGTGGTTTTAATTTCACATTTTAAAGTACTTTTTATATTTAAAAAAAAAATCATTTGAAATATCAGTATTCAACGTTTTAAGATTAAAATATTAAAACATTATTTATGCATTTGTAACTGCAGGTTAAAGCATTCATGTCTTGCATTAAACAGTGTGTATATGCATCTAAATTTACATTTACATTTAGTCATTTAGCAGACGCTTTTATCCAAATCGACTTACAAATGAGGACAATAAAAGCAGTCAAAACTAAAAAAAGAGCAACAATATATAAGTGCAAATGACAAGTCTCGGTTAGCCTAACGCAGTACACGTAGCAAGGTGTATATATATATGCCTTGAATTTTATGCGAGCAGCTACTGGTAGCCAGTGCAAATTGATGAACAGAGGTATGACATGCGTTCTTTTCGTCTCATTAAAGATTAATCTTGCAGCGGCATTTTGGATTAATTGTAGATATTTGATAGAAGTGGCTGGAAGACCTGCCAAGAAAGCATTGCAATAGCCTGGATTATAATATATATATATTTTATTATAACTATAAATGCCACTTCAGATGCAGCTTTTGTGTTTCCTCTGCATTGCATGAATTTTGTTGATAATGATTTTATTTGTTTGGTAACAGCCCCAAATGTCTTATTATTGTATATTGAATAAATGTAATAATTTGACACATTTCTAGAAAAAATGGCTTTACAAAGGTAAAAATTCCCATAAAGGGTAAAAATCATTTTATACTTATTGTAAAAGATTAATTTCTGTCACTGCTGTGAACTGACCACTACACAGAGTCAGCTGTCCATGGCAGTCCTGCAGAGCAACACACTCTCAAACTCACAAAATAGCATCTGATTATCGATCGTTATCGATAAAAACCCAGAAAATATAGAGATATCATGTTTTGTCAACATCGCACACCCCTAGGCTAGATATTTAATTCTTCTTTGCTTAGTGATTATTTGGTACACTAATCATCGTAAAATAATCTTTTATCTTAGAATTAGGTTTTCTCAATGATAACGAGGACAAGACAAAAAATATGCATCATAGGTACAAAGTTGTATTTTATTTTATTCTATTTATATATATATATATATATATATAAATATGTAAAATAATAAATATAATAAATATTTATTTATTTTTTGTGAAGGGGTGGGGGGGACCCCCCAAGAGCTTTGACACAATTCGAACACTGAAGACAATATATTTCTGATGTATGAAATTTGGATTTAAAAAAAGAGTTATATTAAAAATGTATTAATTTCAACAAACTTTTTTATTAATTAGTTGAATGAATGATACAGTGACTCATAAATAGGCATTTACTTGTTTCATTCCTTGTTTCATTCCTAAATAAATAAAGTTTGTATGAATGAGTGGTTTGAATGTACAGCTCATTCATAAAAAGTCATTTGTCTCTACACCTACTGTGATAACAGAAAATGAGGGAGTCAAAAAACAAACAAACAAACAGACAAGCAAAGGATGCTAACATTGAAAAGTCAGTTGTACTGGAATGCTATTCGACCAAACAAATTTGAGGACAAAACTGTTGTTTAAACTTTTATAATGATCTATTTTATCATCATTAAATGATTATTACCTATTATCATCGGTTTGTGATTACCTTTGCCGTCATGTTTGTTTACACTTAAATGCAGCACAGGAGAGCAGTAAAAACCTAAAAATAGATTTTTATCTCTATTTTCTGTTTATCGCTACCTTTTTGGAGCCGATCACTGATCATTGATCACAGGAAGCAGTATCTGCCGACTCTATCACAGATACCAATCTCGTTGAAGCCTTCTTTTTAACATGTATAATTATTTATGGTGATACTCCAATCAGGATTTTTACAGACATTCATTCAGGGCCTGAATTTCAATTTTGAAAATGGGGGAAATTAAGTGACTCTTGTGGGGTGTATTTTTTTAATTTGAGGGGTGGAAGGGGCATTTTTTGACATTTTTCAAAAATATATAATTATCTCATCTAAATGTTTGATCATGCAGTTTGGTTTTTGCAATGGGGCAATTGTTGCACAATAGCTTACATACAACACAGTCCTGATTTCGTGAGCTGTATGTGAGGCATCCTTAAGCCCAAAGTATACTTCGGCCGTCCACGTTCCACGACGGTCCTAAAACCTAAACCCAAACCCAAAAACCTAATGTAATTTTTCAAAATTATTGCAGAAAAGAAGCTCTGTGACCAGTAGAAGTTTATAATTCTTTCTTACACTGAACAAAATTATAAACGCAACACTTTTGTTTTTGCCCCCATTTTTCATGAGCTGAACTCAAAGATCTAAGACTTTTTCTATGTACACAAAAGGCCTATTTCTCTCAAATATTGTTCACAAATCTGTCTAAATCTGTGTTAGTGAGCACTTCTCCTTTGCCGAGATAATCCATCCACCTCACAGGTGTGGCATTTCAAGATGCTGATTAGACAGCATGATAATTGCACAGGTGTGCCTTAGGCTGGCCACAATAAAAGGCCACTCTAAAATGTGCAGTTTTACTGCACAGCACAATGCCACAGATGTCGCAAGTTTTGAGGGAGCGTGCAATTGGCATGCTGACTGCAGGAATGTCCACCAGAGCTGTTGCCCGTGAATTGAATGGTCATTTCTCTACCATAATTCCCTGAGACGGTTTCTGACAGTTTGTGCAGAAATTCTTTGGTTATGCAAACCGATTGTTGCAGCAGCTGTCTGGGTGGCTGATCTCAGACAATCTTGGAGGTGAAGATGCTGGATGTGGAGGTCCTGGGCTGGTGTGGTTACACGTGGTCTGCGGTTGTGAGGCCGATTGGATGTACTGCCAAATTCTCTGAAACGCCTTTGGAGACAGCTTATGGTAGAGAAATGAACATTCACTTCACGGGCAACAGCTCTGGTGGACATTCCTGCAGTCAGCATGCCAATTGCACTTTCCATCGAAACTTGCGACATCTGTGGCATTGTGCTGTGTGATAAAACTGCACATTTTAGAGTGGCCTTTTATTGTGGCCAGCCTAAGGCACACCTGTGCAATAATCTTGCTGTCTAATCAGCATCTTGATATGCCACACCTGTGAGGTGGATGGATTATCTCGCAAAGGAGAAGTGCTCACTAACACAGATTTAGACAGATATATGACAATATTTGAGAGAAATAGGCCTTTTGTGTACATAGAAAAAGTCTTAGATCTTTGAGTTCAGCTCATGAAAAATGGGGGCAAAAACAAAAGTGTTGCGTTTATAATTTTGTTCAGTGTACATATTTTGTTCATCATAATAATCTCAATATCTACTGATTGGCTTCATCACTCTGTCTCCCTTCCACCAATAAGCTGGTGTGTGGTGGGCGTTCTGGCGCACTATGGCTGCCGTCGCATCATCCAGGTGGATGCTGCACACTGCTGGTGGACGAGGAGATACCCCCTGACAATGTAAAGCACTTTGAGTGCCTAGAAAAGCGCTATATAAATGTAATGAATTATTATTATTATTATTATTATTATCTTTACACATGAACACAACTTTTATGAATTTTGAAGCCTAAATTTTGCCATAAGAAGCTAAACTTAAGCTTCCAACAACTCTTTAAATCTTTATTTAAAAACATTTTCCCTGAAACTTGCATTCGAATCATTTTCAAGAGTGTGATTATGAACACACGTTTACTACGTTTACATGCAACCAAATAATCTGTTAGTAATCAGATTGATGGCTCAATCAGACTGAAATGCCTTCATGTAAACACCTTAATCAATCCGATTGAGCTCGATCTGAATTAAATTTCGATTGAATCAGAAGGGTGGTGTGTGTATACCTTTTGTAATCTGATCAAGATGACATGTAAACACTTGATTGGATTCAAAACCAAAACGTACTGCACGAAACTGGAAAGAAATGGCGTAATGATGCATGACAAGTGGAACAAGCTGTTGTTCTTGTAGAATTAATTGTCATAAATGACTGTCATGTTATTCTAAAATTCTCCTTTCACTCATCGTCTGTGAACAGAAGCAGAACAACGTCCCATCAGTCCTCACTTCATACACTCATCCACAGACGGCTTGTTTTGGGCATGGGAATGCTCGTCATCCTATTTCTGGGATTTGGCCTACAGAAATACATAATTTCTCCAGTACTCTATATGTAGTTGTTGCATAAATCCTGAACCCCAGTGAACATTCGACTTCACTGATGCTTGTGTATAAAATCTGCAGCTGAGTGGGAGGTGGCTGAGTCAGATTTTTTGAATATGGGTGTGGTTTAGTGTGCTAGACATGCCAGGTGCTCAATGTTTTCTCCATTTCCTCATGTCTATTTTATTGGCTCTTGCACTTACACACAACTTCGTACCATCATCTAATGCACATTGACATCTGTACATACAGTAGCATTTGTTATTGATTAGCCTATTTAAAGTATGAGGATGCTTTAGTGAAACTTGCATAGTTTAGAAGAGCAGGTTGTGGACAAGCTTTGAGTATATGGTAACTGTATTTACAAGGAAAACGAAACCTTCAGATAAACACAAAAAGCACATGCTTTGCCTTTGAGTTTGCTCTGTGATCAGCATCAGACATCTTTGTTAAAAATGTTTGATATGCGTTGCAATATTTAGTCTGCATGCTAGTCATTGTATAAGCATTTACACATATATAATGTGTGGTCTTGACTAGTGGTTAGCTGAGTTTATACATGACCATTTCCACAAAAATATTAAAAAGCAACTGTTTTAACATTGATAATAATAAGAAATGTTTATCGAGCACCAAATCAGTATATTAGAATGATTTCTGGTTTTTGGTTATTCCAGTCTATCACTAATCATGACATGTAAGATGTGTGTTTGTGGTGTCCCATCTGCATGTGTGTTGTAAGATATGAAATTCTGATCATTTGAAGGCCCTCCATCTCCAGATTTGGACGGAAACTATGGAGGGGGACTTCTGGATATGGTTAAAGGAGGTGCTGGAAAGTTCTTCAGCAACATCAAGGACAACCTGAAAGACACCATCAAAGACACCTCTACCAAGGTTATGAACCAAGTGGCCACGTAAGTCCTCATCGTGTATTCATGGTTTTGTGTACATCAGATGTCACACATGGAGCCATATTACCCCAATGTAGAAAACAGCTTGTTAAACATAGCAAATAATGTAGCTCAGTATAAAACAATAGAAGTCTGTGGAAATTCCCCACCATGATAGAAAAACGAATTTGTGTGTTTGTTTTATGCATGTTTGCACTTGTGTTCGTGTGTAAGACTTCAGAGAAAACAGAGTCAAGGTCTTTCGATGGAGTTCCTGGTGACCTAGTTTTGTATAACGATTGTTGCTATTAATATAACAGGACTCCTCAATGTAATGACTCTTTTTAGGTGTGTGTGTGTGTGTGTTAATATTGAGGATATGGGCAGTCAAACAGAGTTTGTGGTTTGTTACAACAAGGCATCTGCACTCTCAGGAAAGAAGATACAAAGCTGTCACTGGGTCAGTACCCTAAGATTCAAAAGCTAAAAGGTACATCATTGCACCTTATGTACCCTTAAATGGTATATTAGTACCAGGTAAATATTAGTACTTTAAAATTATGTATTAGTAACTGAACTAAATACATTAGTACCTTTTAAATGGGTACCATTTTTTCTGAGAGTGTGACAAAAGTATTGATTTAAACGTTTTTTATTTATTTATTTATTTTTTACATATTTTAAATGTATGTGAGGTTATGCTTCATGCATGTATATTAGGCAATATGTACAATGACCAATATCAGTCAATAGTTTGGACATACCTAGTCAATTTTTTCACATTTTTAGAATAACTTTTAAGTCAAAAAGAAATATATAAGTATTTTAAATAATTAAATAAAACTAATTATAAAAAGCAAAGTATGGGCAAATTATATTTTAAATGAATGGTAATATTGTAAAATAATATTTATATTTTTAAAAATATTTTATAATTGATATTTGTCTATTAAAAAACTCTGACAAAAAGCACTAAGGCATAATATAATCCTTCAGCTAAAAATGTTTATTTAACAGGTTAGTTCACCCAAACATGTAAATTCTGTCATCATTTACTTACCTTAATGTTGTTCCAAATCTGTATGGCTTTCTTTCCTCTGCAGAACACAAAAGAAGATATTTTGAAGAATGTTGGTAACCAAATAATGCTGGTCACCACTGACTTCCATTAAATGGAAAGAAAATTAGATGTTTCTCAAAATATATTTTATGTTCTGTATATTTTATGTTCCAAGAAAGAAACAAAGAAATTACTAAAGAATTACTAAAGACTAAAGAAACGAAGAAATTATTTTGAATATTTCTTAATAGATCACCATGTTAGAAGTTAAAAACCACATGGGGAGTAAAAATGGCAACATCCACTCAAACCAAAGTAGTGATAGTGAACTTATTAAAACTAAAAATTTAATTGTGATATGATTTGCACTTTAAATTTTTTTTTAATTAAAACATGTTTGGGACATGCATACAGCATAATAACCCTGCTAAGTTAAAGTGTTTAAATTATTTACATGAAGCATGATGAAAAAAACTCTCCAGCTCAACTTTCCAAATGTGCTTTTCTCTTACACACACTAATACACTGGTAATGCTATTTTCCGCCACCATGTAAAGGCTGAATGACATCCATACACACAAACAGACCACTGCACAAACACACACACTGTAAACTAGTAGTGTATTTCATTCACCTCTTGCACAGAGGCTTAGAATAGCTTGTTTACATATGATCACATTAGAGGGACCTCACGCTTCAGCAGATTACACAGGTGATTTGGGTGTTGTGTAATGCTGTCCAGTATGTCTACAATTACTGTTAGCCTCACGACTTATGCCCAAAGACAGAAAAAAACACTTCCATCCTAAAGTTTGGGGGCAGGTTTTGAAAGAGGTTTACTCACCAAATGTAAAATTTAAATAACAGTTTCTGTTTTAATATATTATAAAATGTACTTGTGCTTCTAAATATTTTTGTGGAAACCATGATACATTTTTTTCAGAATTCTTAGATGAGTAGAAAGTTCATAAGAACAGCATTTATTTGAAATATAAATATTTGTAACATAATAAATGTCTTTACTGTCACTTTTGAACAATTTATTGCGTCCTTGCTATTTTAAAAATATTTTATAATTGATATTTGTCTATTAAAAAACTCTGACAAAAAGCACTAAGGCATAATATAATCCTTCAGCTAAAAATGTTTATTTAACAGGTTAGTTCACCCAAACATGTAAATTCTGTCATCATTTACTTACCTTAATGTTGTTCCAAATCTGTATGGCTTTCTTTCCTCTGCAGAACACAAAATAAGATATTTTGAAGAATGTTGGTAACCAAATAATGCTGGTCACCACTGACTTCCATTATATGGAAAGAAAATGAGATGTTTCTCAAAATATATTTTATGTTCTGTATATTTTATGAAAGAAAGAAACAAAGAAATTACTAAAGAATTACTAAAGACTAAAGAAACGAAGAAATTATTTTGAATATTTCTTAATAGATCATGTTAGAAGTTAAAAACCACCTGGGGAGTAAAAATGGCAACATCCACTCAAACCAAAGTAGTGATAGCGAACTTATTAAAACTAAAAATTAAATTGTGATATGATTTGCACTTTAAAAAAATTGTAAATTAAAACATGTTTGGGACATGCATACAGCATAATAACCCTGCTAAGTTAAAGTGTTTAAATTATTTACATGAAGCATGATGAAAAAAACTCTCCAACTCAACTTTCCAAATGTGCTTTTCTCTTACACACACTAATACACTGGTAATGCTATTTTCCGCCACCATGTAAAGGCTGAATGACATCCATACACACAAACAGACCACCGCACAAACACACACACTGTAAACTAGTAGTGTATTTCATTCACCTCTTGCACAGAGGCTTAGAATAGCTTGTTTACATATGATCACATTAGAGGGATCTCACGCTTCAGCAGATTACACAGGTGATTTGGGTGTTGTGTAATGCTGTCCAGTATGTCTACAATTACTGTTAGCCTCACGACTTATGCCCAAAGACAGAAAAAAACACTTCCATCCTAAAGTTTGGGGGCAGGTTTTGAAAGAGGTTTACTCACCAAATGTAAAATTCAGCATTTATTTGAAATATAAATATTTGTAACATAATAAATGTCTTTACTGTCACTTTTGAACAATTTATTGCGTCCTTGCTAAATAAAAGAAAATCTTAAAAAAAAATCTTACTAACTCTGAACTTTTGAATAATAGTTACAGTTGTATAGGTATAAGATACAATTAAATACATTTTAATTAAACTTTTTAAGTAATATGGGTTGTAACTTTACCATAATGATAAATTAGAGTTTTAACATTTTTAGGAATATCAGAATAATTTAATGAAACATTATACCTTCAAAATGGATATGAATATATGTTGTGCTGTCAAATCTGAGTTTATATGTGCTCTTATGTGTAATGTAGGTATACAAAAGGAGAGTTGGACATTGCCTACATCACCTCACGGATTATTGGTGAGTAATGAATAATTCTGTGGTAGCGAATGATAGCCATGTTTGTATACCACTGTATTTGCATTTTCTCCATGGTTTTCACAAATGGATGGATTTATATGCATCACATAATGTGTAGACGTGTATCCTCATGTACTCTTTCCGTTTGAACTGTTGGAAACCATCAGCCAGTTTGAACTTATTTAATGTATTTGCTTATTTCTTACCCCTCTCACCCCGTTATTCCAGTTTAAATGCATTTCATTAAAGAATATCAGATGCTAAAATTGTTGTTTGTGTTTTATCTGTTTGTATTGGCCAAACTGGACCTACTGGAAAGAAGTATTATAACAGTCTCCTAATTGTCCTTTCATTCTGTCAGTGATGTCATATCCTGCTGAGGCGGTGGAGATGGGCTACAGGAACCACACAGAGGATATCCGTTCCTTTCTGGACTCACGGCATGCCGACCATTACACTGTTTTCAACCTGTCACAGAGGAACTATCGGGGGGCCAAGTTCTCCAACAGAGTGAGCGCAATCACCTGCATTCCCTGACTTACATACTTTCATTTCACATTTGTGACCCTGGGCCACAAAACCAGTCTTAAGTCACTGGGGTATATTTGTAGCAATAGCCAAAAATACATTATATGGGTCAAAATTATCGATTTTTCTTTTATGCCAAAAATCATTAGGATATTAATTAAAGATCATGTTCCATGACGATATTTTGTAAATGTCCTACTGTAAATATATTCAAATTTAATTTTTGATTAGTAATATGCATTGCTAAGAACTTAATTTGGACAACTTTAAAGGCGATTTTCTCAATATTTAGATGTTTTTGCACCCTCAGATTCCAGATTTTCAAATAGTTGTATCTCAGCCAAATATTGTCAATGGAAAGCTTATTTATTCAGCTTTCAGATGAAGTATAAATCTCAATTTCGAAAAATTTACCCTTATGACTGGTTTTGTGGTCCAGGGTCACATTTCACGTCACTTTGCAAATCAAAATGCCAGTGGGTTCAGTAGTAAGAGTGAATATATATATATATATCTAGAATAAATATATTTTCCTCATCCCATTCCATCACAGATTGATTTTATTTGAACAAAAAAATATATTTCTATTAAAGCTCAGAACACGATTTACAGCAGATTTCCAAGTGGAAGTATAATGGGCCAAGATATCTTTGTTGTCATCAAAAACACACTCTGTAAAATGTCATGGGAAATGTAAAAAGGGGGACAAATTGTATAGCTTAAATTGTAATCCATTATAAATCAGTCATATAAAATGTTTATACATCAGTTCCCAAACTTCTCATTAAAAAAAAAAAAAGGAAGCCAAATGATAAGTCTGTTTTTCACCCACAGAATTGATTGATGTTATTTTTTTAAATAATAACAACTTTAATAATATGTTGCTCAGGGATATTAAGTATGGGTTAAAAAGGAACACATTTCTGGTTTTGTGTAAATGGTTGTGTCTGGTTTTGTCCACCACCTCCTACCACTTCTATAACAGCTGATGATTTTGCCACATTCTTCACAGACAAAACCAGAACAATCAGTAGCCAATTCTCAGCCCCACACACATAGGACTTCAAACCAACCCCACCCACTGCAAAAACTCCCATCTTCTCCTTCTGCCCTTTCTAACGGAGCATGCTGCACAACTTCTTGTCCAGGCCCTTGTCATCTCTAGGCTGGACTACTGCAATGCTCTTCTGGCTGGACTCCCATCAAGCACAATCAAACCTCTACAAATGATTCAGAATGCAGCGGCACGACTGGTCTTCAACGAGCCCAAAAGAGCCCATGTTACACCTCTCTTTATCTCCTTGCACTGGCTACCGGTCGCGGCACGAATCAAGTTCAAGACGTTGATGCTTGCATATAGAACAGCCACAGGCTCAGCACCCGCCTACTTCCACTCACTACTACGAATTTACATCCCCTTCAGAAGTCTGAGATCCGCTAGTGAGCAACGCCTCGTGGTACCATCACAGAGAGGCTCAAAATCACTTTCCAGAACATTCTCGTTCACCACTCCTGGCTGGTGGAACGATCTTCCCACCCCTATCCGGAATGCTGAATCCCTGACAATTTTCAAGCGACAGCTGAAAACTCATCTCTTTCGAAGCTACTTGACTTCATCATAAAAAAAATAAAAAAAAAATAAAAAAAGTATCTCTCTCTTTATTTATTCCTTCTCTTTCTAGCTTGTACTTATTTGAACAATGTCTAACAACTTGGTATTACAACCACTTCTTGTGTCTGTTTGCCTCTTTAAGAAGAATCACTTTATGTATCCCCCAATTGTAAGTCGCTTTGGATAAAAGCGTCTGCTAAATGACTAAATGTAAATGTAAATGTAAATGAAGGGGTACTTGAGCCTTATTGACGGAGCTCTGGTGTACAAAAAGGTTTGGGAAACACTGGTGTCATCTGGGATACTTGTTCTATGTTGTTAATTTCTTTCCAAAAATGATACTGGTGGCTGTGATGACTCCTCTTTCCTTCTTTCCTTAAATATTAAACAGTGCTTTTCCCATGTAATTAAATAACTTCTCAGATTAACTGCACGACTCAACTATTTCCAGCAATTTCATGGCTTATTTGCTGCTGTACTTATAAAGGATATCTTAGTTCGTTTTGGGATCCCATGATTATGTTCTTATTTCAGTGACAAAAGTGGAGCAACATTTATATATTTTTTACATTGAAGGTTTGGCTTAAATATAATATATTTGATACATGATGACTTTTGAAGTTTTATTCTTACTCAAATGTTGTAATGTTTTTTTTTGACATACTGCTGTTTCATAATGTACATAAATATTAAATATTATTTTAGATCTTGCTTTGATTATGTATTTTATCCATGATTATCCAACTTTTCATATATCTCTCACTCAGTTCCCTTTCAGTCGGTCACTCTCGACGTCACGTCGGATGACCG